GTTCATGTCAAGAAAGTATTTTGTTTCACAATTTCTTATTCTCTTTCTCTCCAGATAAAATATATATTTAATTTAGAATAAACATCTTAATATTATAATCTGTGGATAATATTATCTAACTTGTACAAATATTACTACGCAGGCTTTGCTTTTACATTCGTCTCTATTTAGTGCCATTTAATGCAGATCTTAACTTTCCTTGTATCTAATTGAATTTATATAACTTGATTTATTTAACGCTCTTGTGCCTAATAATAACATTAATTAAGAGAGAGACATCACATTCATTAATTTCTAAATATACAATGATGATACATACCTAGATTGTCATGCTGAAAATACTTTGTAATTGTTAAAGCTATTGAAGATATATCGTTAATGTGAAAGATCTAGTTATATAAGAGAATAATTATTTTTGTTCTGATTAAGCCATTTACTTTGAAAGTTATGTAAGTTAAATCTAAAATATATATTTTTTAAATACATATATAATACTTATGCATTCCTTTCAAAGTAAATAGCTTAGTTATATTTATTTGAAACATTCTTAAAATGCAGTGAATTCTGTGAAGAAGTTTTATCTGTACTCTTATATAGAGTTACATGTTAAAGTTAAATTTTTACTGAGAAAACATATAAATTTGAAAGTCGATAACCAAAGATTATCAGAGTTCAGAAATGGCACATTTGCATGCATTATCGACTTATCATCTTGCAATAGAATCGAAAACTACTTGCTCTAAAATCCAATGAAGATTACGACTCTGTGGAACTACTTAGGAGATACGCAATTATGGCATGACCTGTTTTGCTGCCAGGAAGTACTTTCAGATTAAAGTTATTTCGTGCTCATTATCCAGCGGTTTGATATTCTCTTATTTCGGTACCACTAGTAATTACTTCTTTCAAATAACGAGCATAAGAGACACGCATTGGTTGGCACGCTCTTGTCTTGCTCAAACAAACGCGACCAAAGGCTCTTCGCTTTTACCAATGTTCATCGACACGAACCGCGTCTCTCACCGTAAATGTTTGGGGATCGATATTGAAACCATTTCAGTGAACGCAATTTACTACCGTTATGGATTTTTAACCTTGTAGCGCACATCAAAATGTTTTTCGTTGTGTAAAATTATTAATAAATATCGAGATCTTTAATATCTATTAATATGTTATCAAAATTAAATTATAGAAAATTTTTTTTTATTTATTTTTATATTTTTTTTTAATTGTCTCAAATTATTCTCATTATTTATATTCTTATTTATTCTAAGTTGTTTAATTTTTTTTATTATAATTATATGAAAATTATCTAAAGAAATATTTTCTTTATAATTAAATAATATTGTTCAAATAAGACTTTAGATTAACTACAAGTAAATTTGTTGATAAAATTGTTGATTACAAGTAAATTGTTGATAAAATTATATGTTAGAGATTGTTTTTTACATTGCTTTTATATTTGCAAACGTATTGCAATTAATTATCTTTGATAAAATAGAAATATTTACTCGTAGGTTAAAATTTTATTAAAAATTAATTTTTATAATAATTAGATTATTCATAAAATTTAATTATGTTAACAGAAAGAATTTTTTGAAATGTCTAATTAAATCTTGATTATTCTTATCTAAATTTGTATTATGACTGAAATTTATATATATATATATATATATAATACGACAAATAAAAATTCAGTTTATTTTCACATTATATTCAATTTCTCGAAGTATTTATGTATTCAAAGCTGATAGAACTAAATTGATCTCACTGAAACTGCAGCCATATCGATCCCCTATAACGCGAGTAAAATTTTAGTATGACACACGTCACGTGTCACCCTCTTGTCGTATGAATGTGGAGTAAGTCGTAACCTACAATAATTGCTATATACACGTTTACAATGACGTTCACGCACAAATTAACCTTCGGCCATCCAGTTACATCGCCAATCTCTCTAATGGGAATCTCGTTGTAGACCGCGGGATCGTGTCATCCTTATCGCAACCACCATCCTCGCAGTTCTTTTCATCTAGCCTAATTTCATCTATCATAATTTCCGTGATAACTTCGCCAGAGGTTTCCAATGTACTTGACGCTCTTGACGGTCGAGGACAACTCCTCGTCGACGAGCGAGGAGTATGATAGCGTACTCGAAGAGTCCTCATCGGATTCCTGCCAAGGCAAGGACGAGGAAGGGGGAACTGGCGAGAATTGAGGCAGAGGGGTTGTAATATAGGCGCACGTATCTACAGGAACTTTGGTGGTTGACGCTATTTTGCTCCTCGACGTCGCCGAGATCGCTGGCATCGACCTCGGTCGATCCGGCAAATCCGCGATATCTGAGAAAAACTTTCCTATCCTACGCGAGTCCACCGGTTTCGTTACATGATTCCTTGAAGACGGTGGTAGCTTTTTACGGTCAGACGGTGGCGAGCTCGGCCTTATGATGGAGAAGAGAGCGGTTGACGCACCAGGAAGAGACGGCGAAGAGGACAACGTGGCTGTCGAGACCCGCTGCTCCTCGCTGGCGAGCGCCATTAGCGACGAAGAGACCTGGGACGAGGACGTCGTGCCAGGCTCGTACTGCTTCCGGGATGGCGATGCCACCATGCTCCCCTGGCTCGTCTGCTACAGACCCGTCCTCTTCCTCTTCTTCTTCTTCCCGTCCGTCAAATCAGGCTTTTTACTTTGACTATCGGCGACGCTGACGTTTGGCTTTTTCGCATTTGACGTTGATGCTTTGTTCTTACCGAGCGTGAGGTTCCTGCCGCCGTCGTCTATCCGCGACTTCCGCTTCTTCGCCGGCACCGAGAGGGCCTGCCGCCTGCAAGCTTCCTCACTGGCTGCCCCCTCGCAGGATCTCTTGGATTCCGGCGTGTTGCTGCTGGCGCTGATGATCTCCGATGATGCCTCGACAATGTCCGTTACTGATTTCAAGATCGATTCCTCAGGACCTTGGCATTGGGGACCGGGCTGCTCGCCCGATTTGCACCGCCGTTTCCGCTTCTTTCTCTTCTTTCGCTTGCGACATCTGAACCTGTCCCTACCATCCTTTTCTTGGGATAGTATAGGGGGACAGATGTCAACTTGGCGATGACTGCTGCCGTGATGACGTATTTTGTGTTTGGTATCGTTCTGTGTTTGGATCGGCCGTGTTAGCACTCGGGCATAGGTTGACAGCTTGCCCAGGTTGTGACCTTTGGCTTGTACTCTTCTCGGTTGACCGTAACGATTCAAACCGAGGTACAAAGTCTTATTCGCTGTAGACCAACGTATTGAGCTATACGTGTTGTAATTTCCGTCGAATATATCCTCCTTGAAGAGACATTCCATTGCAGTAAGGTCACTCTGAAACAGAAAACAATTAATAAATTCATAAAATGGGCAATTTCATAATGTTGAAAGAGTTTTATAGATGAAGTAGAAGTTATTGACGAGTTTATAAAGCAATTGCATTTATTTGGATTTTCCTATCTTATTATTTTTATCATTATTTTTATTCATTTTTAAGAAAATTTATTGATAAAATTACTGCTTATTTCTAGCGTTGTATGATAATTGTTAAAACATTAAGTATTATGACAGTCTATTCTGTTTTTCGATAATATCGTGTTTAACTAAAACGTTTCAGTTTGTTTCGATGTTCATACTTCAAAGCATGTAAGAGAACTTTCTGTTAGAGGAAATTGAGATTAATTTAAAATGTGAATTTTATTTTACAAAATATTTGAAAGAGCATTTACAATTCTGTTTACGTATAGGTATATTAATTACATGTAATAGCGTCGAGTATCTTGTGAAACAAAGAGTAAGGAAAACGCATTTCCTTTGAAATAAAATTCTTGCCCTTTTTCCAGTCACTGCCTCAATTAAGCTCGCGATGCATTCTCGGTTTGAATCTTTGTTTAAAGACGCGATGTACTCTCAGTTGGCGCTATTCGTTCGTTGCAGGATGCAATAATGGGCGATACATACGTGCGCAAAATGAGGTTAATGCAAGTTAAAGCGCTAGTCCGTTTCCTTAGTGGGACATTAAGGATAATGCGGAACCGACCAGCTGCTTAACGATGATGCAGGGTAGACATTGTGCCGTGATCTCGCCGTTTGTTTTATTATAACTTTGTAGTTGAACGGAAGCAGCTGTATTCTTCACAGACAATTACATTTGTCGGTTTAACTGTGGAAAGACGAGTGGTTCGAATTGCTTCATTCTATGCCGCGTGGCACTTTCGAGTATACTTTACACGAAAAAATATAATAATTTTTTATAAATGCAAAAATAAATTCTATAAATATGTTGAAACAGTTGTCTTGTAAAAAATCTGGTTTGTCACTATCAAAATAATAATTATTCGGATTCTAGCATTTTTCTGTAGATGAGTAAAAAAAGCGATCGATCTGAAAGAGTTCAATGCAACTCTCGATAATTATTTTGATCGACTGACTTTGTAATATCGTATAGAAATCTTAACGACGTGACGCCAGTTACAGCGCCACGAATCGCGAAGTTGTAGTAAATAATGATTTCGTTAGAAACAAAACAACTAATGGAGACGGCGGCCGCAAAGAGTATCAGAAGAATGCAACTACCTTGCTACTTTATGACTCGGTTGCGCTGCTTGTTCTTCTTGTACGACAGATAATTTATTGTTACTATACGATATGTTTCTTACATGTCACAAGAGATCATTAAAATACAAAATTTAATCCTTTTGTCTATATATGCCATATGTGAAAATGAATATTATTTACAAAAGAAATATTTAACAGAGATTCTCAGACCAATGCATTATAAAATACATAAAGAAAAGGACAGCAATATTATGTTTAAGAATATTTAAGAATAATTTTGTTATAATTTTCTCGGGAATTTATATTTTCTTAAATAATGTCCTCATAATATTCACAGAATATTTTTTTGCTTAAGAATATCCTTCAAAATATTTCGGAACGTTATTTTAAATAATAATCAAAATATGTTTTCAAGTTCTCATTTTTAATATATTTTTAATATTTAGATATATGTGATTATTTAGGATCATTTATTTGTTGTTTATTGGGATGCTTTTAAATACAATTGCAAATTATACACGGACCTATTTATTATTCTACTAATGCGTGTAATATCGAGGTGTATCTTTTTGTTATTGCTGTCATTACAGTTGAACGACCACTTTTTATATGGCGTAAATTGTTAATGCTATTCCACCGGTATCGGTTTCTTTGTCTCGATAAAGATCGTGTGATTTACTTGCGAGTGCAGATAGGTGATATTTCGTCGATGATTCGCGAATTAACCGCATTCTCGAGCTAGAATAATTTGTTGCTAATAATTACGAACAATGCAACTTTTTCTTCATTCGGAATTAAGTTTAAATCGTTCACACATTTATATCGCGTGCATTTATTAAAGAACCCTGAGTGCCTGATCATTTCGCGAAAGTATGTCGTTCTATTCTAGTTTTCTAGAGCATTTGTGTACACTATTCTAGATGTTCTGTGTCTCTTACAATTGACGGTTACTATATAAAAAGGAAGAATTGGTCAGAAGTGATCATTGAAACGAGTCAAATTTTACAAGAAACATTACATTTATTATTCTTTTCCAATCAATTATTTTTTGCAATATTAGTGTGAAGAATATTGTCTGACTTATACATAAATTAATAGTGAATTCAATGAGAATATTTTACTTGAGATGATTCAAATTGCTTTCAGAGGAAACGAATCGTTATTAATATTAATTTCCATCTTGTATTAATTTTGATTTTATATATATATATATATGTTTAAGAATATTACGTTATTTTATTCGTATTTATAAATATACAGAAACATACGCGAAAAGATGTAATTCGAGAGAGTAAACAATATGTGCTTTGTTCGGTTCTGGCAATTAACGAAGTGCAATCGAGTTGACGATAATAATTAGGGTCGTGTCGTGATAATGAATTACGTACAATCTTTTATCGCGTAATTGCAGAGCTAAGAATCATTGGTTGTGCGCGCATATTTGCACGTACATATGGAACCAGTTATTCGAAGAGCTTTAGAAGTGCCGCTGATTACTCTTTATGTCGTTTGGTAATGGAACACTGTTATCAGTACTTACGACAAATTTTTCAGTATAAGATTAATATGCTACGATTTATTTATTCTGTTGACTGTATTAAAATCAGGAATCATCACATATATCAACTAACTTTCAATAGCGAAAGAAATACGATGAAAGACTTATCAAGACAAACTAGGTGTACATTTTGCGCATAATAAGATTCTAAAAAAACCTTTAAAAAAGAAAAAATACATGAAACACACGATACGTGAAAAGAATAGTTTAACAAAGAAGAGATGTTAATAATTGCTTACTAATCTTGTAAATTCGTTATCTATAATGTTTCTGTATTTAAATATTATCAATATATTATTACCTATAGGTATATATTGTATATATATATATATGTATATGCACATATGTATATATTATATATACGGAGAGAATTTTTTTAAATTTATCTAGAAAATATGGTAGTTGTGGTATAATACAATATTTTAAAGATTTTTATCCATGCACTTCAGTAAAATTGATCAAACCTATTTTATACTTTGTAGTTTTATTAATGAATGAGAGAGATATATATTAAAAAATTCTTCGAAATATAATGTTGTCCCACGACTGTCATATTTTCAAGGTAAACTCTAAGAAAAAATTCCGTGTATATTATCATTATATTTCTACGTATTTTTTATTAATCATGGAAATAAGTAAACCATCGTATTTAAAAAAAATACCATTTTGTTATATACAGGGTGTCTGGTAGCGACCGCAAAATATTTCGTGCGTGTGTAGAACAGACTACACTGAGTCGAAAAGTCCTGTACCATTTTGCGGTGTCAACAATAGTTAAGGAGATATTAACGTTTAAAGA